TTCATAATTACATGAAACCACTTCTATGAAAACTTCCCTAACCTCTCGTGTGTAGATGAAGTGCCCCTTTTATACTGCTGTAGTTGTCTAGGATTTCCCCTTTATCTTAGCATAAGGCATTATAATTGGGTTCTTACATTATTGAGATTCTCTTATTTCATCCTTCCATTCAATATAAAGTGAATATTCAGTAACTGCTTGCTACGTGAGAAAAGGAACTTTTAAATAAGTCAAAATTCTTGTTTCTTAAGAGTTACTCTGGAATGTAACTCATTTTCTGAGGTTCTTATAAGAGTGGTACTGTCTGTAAATTCTATCTACCTGTATAGAACTTAAGTCATTTGTGGATTTGTCCTACTGATAAGGATAATATGAAAGAAACCTACAGGCACAAACCATTCACTTGAACATTATATTCCCTTCAAAACAAGCAAAGGAAAGAAATGATTATATTTTGACTATCTTTCTTGTCTCTACATGCTCAAAGAATAGAAATGAACTAAAATCAAAAAACAGACATGTCAGAAAAGAAATCCCATGGAATATACCAACCTTCAGGTTCGTTATTTCCTAAACAAGTGGCAGTTAAAGCATTGTGCATTACTTGAATATTGAATATGGTCAAATGTACATTTATCTTGAATATAGAACTGAGATTCAATATCTTATATGCGGTTGCTTTTTCCCATTACTGTTCCCTTGACAGGGTGGAAAAATATGTATTTTTTATACACAAAGAGTCCATCAGCTTTCTAATTTTGATTCTTCCAAAAGCCCTTCCTATGTGACTGGGATCAAGTTAAATGTCCTCACAGAGGAGACAAGCCAGGGACCACAAGTCATGAGTTCCCTTTCCTTTCAATGAAAAGTCCTTATACTGCACAGTAGCAGAGAGAGCTGTAAATCAGCAGAAAAGAAACAAGACATTTCCTCCACCATTCACAAAGGAAGCAGAACAGTCCAAAGAAGGAACAACACTTTCTAACCCGGCTCCATCATTTTCCTTCTCCTGTTATCAAAGAAAGTCAGCATGAGCACTTGGAAATATAAATCTATATTTTGAAACCCCTTTTCCTGTCATTGCTCACAGAAAGCAAAAAAGGCACTTGGTGAATTGAAGCTCTTATCTGAAATGGAGGTAAAAGGGAAGGCACTTTTTGAGAAATAAATACCTTTATCCATCAGGAATGAAATTGGCCAATGGGGGATACAAGAACAGAGAGCTCTTCACTGCTCCTATTGGGAAGAGATGAAAGGTGCTTCCACATGTGGACCTCACGACAACTTTGGCATGGGAGAAATCGTACAAAAAGTACACAGTTGCCCTGGAAATTGCTTTGTTTGATCTTTGCATTAAGGATTTAGGGCCTGCAGCCTCTGAGAGGCATTTCTCTCTCTCTTTCTCTCTTTTTTTTTTTTTTTCGCATTGGCCATTTTAGTATTCATGTCTCCTGTACTGCTTTCTAATAAGTTAAGAATGAAACGGGAGACTGCGTACAAGAGTGAGAAACGCAAGAAAAGCAGTAGTGTAAAATAAAAATGAATGAAAGTGCATCTCAACTTTTTTTCTTATTAGCAGGCAAGAGAACAACAATGCCAATTTTACTGTTATTACTTAACGCTTCACATTTACCAAAGGGTCTTATAGACATTTTTACATGTCGTTTGTCAGTACTTTTCTCATATAAGGTTGGGCGGTCTGTCACTGTTCTTCACATCAATTTTATACCATTGGATTAATTTTTTTACCCCAAAATGTTAATCTAAATTCAGTTTGTGCTAGCAAGTTACCACAAATATCCTTTCAGTGGGAGTAAGTGTTCTCTTTGCTCTTAGGGTACAGCAAAACACTGGGTAGTTGATGTTTTAAATTTTGATTCCTTATGTTAAATAGACCCATTTTTCCACTCTTATTCACGTCCATGCCATTCAATTAGTTACTACTCAGATGTAGCCCTAGTGTAGTGTTTCATAAAAATAAAGAGCATAACAAGGTGAGATCTAGAGGGAATTTGTATGGACCTTCCTTTTAACTCTTCTTTGTTACCTAATGTGAGTGAATGTTGTGGCTCCCATTGGTGAATGCGGATGGAATCTTTGACAGGAGCATGAAGACATGGAGAGAAGTATGTGCCTGAGTTAAGTGGGCCAAGTATGCTGACTGAGAAACCGGCGAATCCCAGGTTTAAGGTTGTTACTAGTTTGTTAGTTTGCATAATGACAGTCACTCAGTAGGCAAGCAGAATTCAAACCTGAACACTGTATTCTGTCATTAATGATCACCCTCAGCTCCCTGAAAAGTCAGGTTAGCAGTGTGAAAGTATGCCATTTTGATGTTTTATTGGACTTGGATATTTCCTTGTTCCTATGAGAAATATTTCTTCATATATTACTAGCATGGCTCAAATGGTATGGAAATCTCATTCCCATATATATATTTTCTTTTACATGTGTGCATACCTATATGTATATAAACACACACACATGCACACATAGAAGTTCCCTTTCACATCAAGTGAATTGAGTGAATAGCTACACATTGAATTGCCCATATGGGATCCCAGCATGTTCAAGGTGAGGATTTTAGCCACTAGCCTATCACACTGGGCCCAGGAAGTATTTTTATTGACTGATGATTTTAGGGTATAAAGGAACAGTCCTTGTGCTTATATTGGTGATGGTGACATAATAATAGCAACTATTCCTGACATTTATTGTGTGAATACTAAACACTAGATTTATTAAAAATGAACTCAAATTATCTTCAGAAAATAAAGAAGCTTTCAGTTTTATGACTTCCTCAAGGTTATAGACTATGTTGAAACAAAGGCTTATCTGATTCAAAAGTCATGATTTCTTACTATTTCTCTCCAGGAAGACAGTTAAATCAGGCTATGGGAAAACTTCAAATAGAGTTACCTTATATTCTAGTCTGTAACTACTGTCCCAGAAAAACTAATCTCCTTTTCATGCTAAAATAAATTTAAATTTGGACAATATATGTGAGAAGCAACTTATCTGTGAGCAGTATTTAAGATGAACACGGTAGGTGGTGCGGACTAGTCAGCACTGTAGTATAGCCACTGCTTGTGGTGCCAGCATCCCATACTGGAATGGTGGTTCAAATCCTGGTGACTCCTTTTCTGGTGTAACATCTTACATACATGGGAAGGCAGCAGATGATGGTGCAAGACTGATTCTCTGACCACAGGGGAGACGAGGTGGATTCCCTGGCTCTTGGTTTATCCTGGCCCAGACCTCTGGCTGTTATGGCCAGTTGGCCAGTGAATTGGTGGATGGAGGGTTGATCTCTCATTCATTCATTCATTCATTCTTATTCTCTCTCCCCCCGCCCCTTTCCTGTATACTACCCTGCCTTTCAAATAAATAAATAAGTCTAGCATAATGAGGCAAAGTTTTTCTTGGGTCATATTCACTAAGCGTTGTTAATATCTTTGCCTTTGCTGAATCATGGCTTCCAACAAGTGGCAAATTGGAAGTAGCTTGGTATTTTGGAAGGGGATGGACAGATCTGTAAATGAATGCTATTTCCTATCCAGATCCAGTGCAAATGTCTTCATGTCATTTATGTTCTGTTTTTATGTCACTTTCCTTTGACAATCTTTAGTCCTGCCTCTTTTCTCTCTCCTTGTCTTCATGTGTCATCTGTGTAAGGTGTCTTGACTGATCAAGTGTCCGAAAGTGGTTTGGTTTTACTTTAGCTTTAGACTCTGATACGTTTTTAAAGGACAGCTTTGTTCATGCAGTCAGATGGTTAATTTGTCAAAAGGAAAATAAAAATTGTTAGCATGTATCTTTAACATATGCTTCTTCCTTCCCTCTCCTTAATTTCCCTGTTCCTACTCCGCTACTGCTTTACTGTCATGGTGCTGTTAGTGGTATCCAGGGAGCTCCTGGTTGCAGTTTCTGGACAATGCTACTGCAGGTTTCGCTGGGGTAAGCCAGCTCCAAAATGTATTATTTCAAGCACCACCTCACACGTTTTTACTCCTCTTCTGCTCTTATGGGCAAACTGTTGTTCTGTTTCTATTATTTTAAAGGGCTTTCAAGAAGAACACAGAAAATTATTGTTTTTAAGCTCATAAAAAAGCCTACTTAAAAGACATACATAGTAACATTTAACATTCACATTTGTCAGTTTTTAAAAGTCTGGCTTTGAGAGGTGGATTAAAATTGTTCATTTATTATTTTATCTTTACAGCTCTGGGTGATTTTTGACAGCTAAAATGTAGTTTTATTGACCAGTGCAGTCACTGTGCCCACAAGGGGACTTGTGCCCACAGCTTGCTGCACTCACGGAAACGATGGTTTTTGATCCCATGACTGAGTCAGACTGGAAATCATAACCAATATAGCAATAAGTTCCAAATCTCAGGGCCCAAGGCAATAGGTTTGCTGTAAAACACAATCACCCTTTAAGGAAGGGAGGGAAGAGGCAGGGGGAGAGGAGCATTCTGGAAACTCAGTTTGATGCCACTCTGGGAAGACCAGGAACACTTCTCTAGCTGCCCTTCCAGAGTGTAACAGAGCAACATAAGGAGACCTTTCTCTAAGGCCTGGCTTCCACAGGCCAAAGAGTCATGAACAGAAATGCTGAAGAAGTGAAATAAAGGTTAGCTACACAAACTATGCATTAACCAACTAATTTAATGTGAGAAAATGTACAACTAAGCAATCAACAATAAATACCAAGAATTTTGGAGAGAGAGGATGTCTCCGATCCTCCTACACCCACCGAAACCTCAGCCAGTAGAGTGATTCTAAGTGCAGCTTTAATTTAGGCCCATTCAACTACCAAATTGGTCACCTCTGCAATGTTAATTTTGTCCTTTATTCCAAATCCCCTTGTAACACATAAGCAAACCTCCAAAGGATAACAAATCAATACAATGTCTAATTTGATTAACCATGTTTTCAAACTCATCAAGACCGCTCTAACCTGAAATAAATAGGTGAGTAAATAAGTAAGTGTCACTCACTTGTGAGTATTTTCCACGTCTTCTTTTCATCATCGTAATACTGAACCAGATTGCTGGGGAGCCGGTCCGGTCCAGGAGGCAACCCTCCAACCAACAGCAGCATTTTCTTGTTAGAACGAATTCTTCACCCAAAACAAAAGAGGAGATGAACAACCACATTATTGTAGAGTCCTTTTAGTGGCAACAAAATCATAACCATCAAAAGAATGTTCCTTGCTTGCCGATTTCTATTTCATTTTTTCCCTGCTGCTTCTCCCATTCATGTCTCAACATTTCTTTTGAGCCAAGCAGAAAAATGATCAGAAGAGCTGCCTATCCCCATACTCGTGGAATAATAAGCTCCCTTTATGCAATTTGTTAGAGGTTCATTCTAGAACGACCTTTTTCTTATATTATCCCTTTAAATCATCACTCTTTACAGCTGAGTACACATGAAATGCTCTGGAGTTGTACTAAGGTTAAGCATTAAAGTTGCATGTCAAAAATCGTATTAGTCAAAATCATTATTATAAGCCATTCTCCACTCAAAGAACCTTGAAAAAATTAAGGTTATGCAGAGAGTTTGTGAGCCAACTCTTTAATCACCTAGGGTAGTTCAAAAACCAGTTTGGTACAATTAGCACAGTGCTAACTGGGGTGGGTTCACCAGTTTGAGCATGAATTTTTTTGTTTGTTTCATTTAGCTTACACTTCTGCCTTCATCCTCTTTCCCTACTCCCAGCTCACCCTCCCCTCTGCTCTCCCCCTGTGCACCACTGGCGATATTGCAGCACCAATTGGTAAAAATGAGACTGTGATGTTGTTGTGAGCCTCCCCAGAGTGGAGCCCTGCCAATGCTTGCCACTGATCCAGCGGCATGAACCTGCTCAACTGTGCAAAGTCACTCTAATTCCCTCCCTCTGTTTTTCTACCTTCTCCCCCAGGGGGCAGCCACTGAAAGGAGTGACTACCCACCCATCAAGAGCTGGCAATTCGCTGCTATTAACCGTGACTGTGATTCCCAGTCTGCCTGGCAGTTCCTGAGAAGAGGCCTGCAATGTCTCATATGCAGTAAAAGCTATAAGATGCACCCTGGCCGGCACACTCGACCTGATGGATGTACAATCCTCAGGAACAGTAATGGATTGAGAACACTTGCCGCTGAAGCAGTGAGCGGAGGCCCAGACCCCTACAAGGGGCCTGCTGCTTTAACAGTCGCTTTACATGTAATTGAACTTTTAATTCACCTGAAAGACTCAAGGTGGTGGTGGAAGAAATGGAACAACCATGACTGAAGGAAAAAGTCAATACATGCAAAAATGTTGCTCTAAAATATGAACCAAGCCCACAATGTAGCTCTGGATATATTGTTACATACTTAGCCTGTTCTGACTCAGGGATGCTTGACAAAATATACCCTTGTGGAGAAGCATTGTTTCTTGGTGAAGAACCTAACACTGGGAGAGTTTACTTAATGCAGTTAATTGCACTGAAGGTAGGAACAAGAGAATTCCTTTAATGAAACTCTGATGCCATTGAATTGTTGTACATACCTCAGTAGGAAAAATTTAGCAAAACGTCTGTGTTAGAGACTTATCAATAGGGGGAGCTGCGTGTGTAAACAAATGACTAATGGAATAACTAACAAGGTTCATCTTGCCACTGTGTGGATGTAGGTGATAGAAAAAAAAAACAAACTTGGAATTTAGTGTGCTTTTGAACTCAGCTTGTATGCAGGACACTAGTTGGCAGAGAAACAGATCACAAAACAGCAGAGAGCTCTGCGCTTTCAGAATTTCAATGATTGCAGTGATTTTAGAAGGAAGCTAAGGTAAATATGTGTGAAAAGTACCTATTTATTCAGAAATAACAGAATTCACGTGCCACGTAATTTCCAAAATATATGGTAGCAAAACTGATAGCTATTCTTTTCACTATAGATCTTGGCCAGGTAATCAACTACTATGTATATATAAAAGAATTCAAGATGAAAGCAAACCATCTTTTGGTTGCTGTGAGTTACCTTGTGTAGATGGTGTGGCCTGAAATCATCACATGTCTCTATGCTACCAAACTTCAGGTGTGAGCAAATGAATCAATTTCAATAAGGTAGACACAGGAAAAATTCAGTGAAGAGCTAATTGTGACACAAGCAATATATTTTATCAATCTGTTCTGCTTTAAAAATCTGGTTACTACAACGGACCAGCATCTTGTGGCTCCAATATATTTGTAAGGTTATTTCATTCAATGCCAAGTTAAGTTTCCCTGGATTATGCCCATTGGAGATTGTCCAGCACTGAGCTGAGTTGATCATCTCTGTTGATGCAAAGAGGGTTCTAGAGTCTATCTTCTCATTATAAAGAAGCAGCCATTCCTGTCTGACCTGTGAGAGTAGGAAGCGAGACCAGCAATATGTATGCCATTGCATAGATGGGAATTGGTAACAATCTACCCCTGGAAACAATGGCAGACAGGAAATGTTCTGCACACATTTATGGATTTAAATCTTTAGGTCATCGAGTGTCCACTGGTAATGTGATGAAGAATGACAAGGAAGGAAAGAAATCCACCTCCCCTCATTAGATGTTTCCTTTGCAGAGGCAGTGCCACTATGAATGGAAACCCATTCCTAATTTTTCACAGTGTTGTGTATGTATCCTCACTCATTCTGTTATGGTGTTCATTTAGTCTAGTTTGCTTGTAAAGCTTGTGTTACTCAATTTTCCAACTCATCCTCAATAGGAGTATTCATTTTAAAATGAAGCCTAAAGTTATGCCTTGTATAAAGGTGAACTGCATAGAAATCAAAATAGAGCAATGCATGTGAGAAGCTGCAGAAGTAACAGAACACATTTATTCACCATTTTCCCACTGACTTTCAAAAAGCCCCAAATGGTATAAATTTCCATTTTATAGCACAGTGTAAAAGTTCCCATAGTTACTATTAGAAAACTTATATTTGATGTTACATAAAGCTATAAACCTTCCTGGATCCGAATAATGGGAATTTTTCTCTATTCCTTAGTTCTTAAGAATAATATAAATGAGCAAAACCATCACATATTTTACTTTGATGTAAATGCAATGTCAACTATTCAATTACTTCTAGAAAGTAACGCATGTGAATAATTTCTGTGGAAAAGCTTTCATTCTTTTTACAATGTACAATTATAATACTACAATGATAATAATGACAGATAATGACAAATGTACATCGGATAGGAGACCCCTGGTTATCATGCTATTTACTTGGTATGGGTGAATTTCAATCAGAAAAGATCGTGGCGTAAGAAAGCATACCCTGTGAACTAGAAAAATAAAATCACGAAAATCTAAACTGTCTGGGGTAAAAGGAGTTTTAATGACTCTTTTCTGAAAAATACCATCAGAGCTTTATGGGTTGGGTTTTAGATTAGACCTAACCTACAAATACAGCCTCACTATAATCCTTAGAGCTCCTTCAATGGCCAGGATATGTTGTGGGGAAGCTTCCTACATGGGGAACAAATGTAGCCAAAATTACTATGTTCTCATCCTGTTTTTGTTATATTTTTAGATATTACTTTTCATTCCTCATTTCAGCTACCTAGAGACAAGTAATGCATATTAAAGATAGGAAAATTAGCAAAATTTAAACCAAAAACTGAGTATATCATGATTAATAATACTATTTGGATGTCCGAGTTCTTGGATTCTCACTCAGAAAGCATCACATGAAAAAGGCAATGGAATTTGAAGGTCTCCTTTGTTCCATCTCAGTAATTGCCCACCATTTAGCATGTGTCACATTTGGGGGTGTGCTTGTGCGTGTGTGTGCCTGTGCGTACCTGCTTTGGTTACGGGGATGAATGATTGAAGGATGACCCAAAATCTCCTGGTGTAAACAAATTTTTCATCATACTGGTGCTCTAAGTATAGGAAAATCTCATTTATTTATATTTCAGTGATTTGGAACTTTAATAATTGGGAAACATGCCAAGTTATCCTTTCCATGATACATGAAAAAAGTTTGCATTAGCCAGATCATAAGGAGAGCTTTAACCTATTAAAAAAAAAAAACAAAACAGCTGGCTTGCTAGCACTTGAGAGCTACGACTGTGCCTCTAAGATTATGTTTATTTTAGATTACTAATAATTCTTTGAAGAAAGTAAGCATTCTCCAATGTTCTAAGAATTATTAAATCATATTTAACAGAAACCTCTTAGGCAATTTCATTTTGTGATTACCAAGCTTAGTACATTATCAGGAACATCTGAGGGGTTGAAAAATTTGAGATTATTGACAGAGATTTTCAGTTCCCAAGTTTTAGAGATTATGATTCACTCGGATGGGTCCTTTAAATTCAATACGTCTTCATAGCCTTCCAGTTGCTTCTAACAAAAGCCAGGTTTGAGGCCACCTTCTTAGTGCAGTCCTCTACATAATGTAGAAATCTTTTTCACAGTTTTTTCATAATTACTATATTCTTATATGTTTAGAAATGAGTAATAGTTTTCCAGCTATTACAGTTTTAACAGTTGTTACAAGTTGTTGAACAAATACATCTCTCTTTCCCATAGGCTGGGCTGAAAAACCTACCTAGGTCTTCAAGAGGAAAAGCGAGCACCCAGGGTTTTGGTATGCCAGCATTTCAAATACCGGAATTTCTCTCCCTCATGTTGGAAATCCTCATTTCCTGTGCCATGTATCCCAGTCTCCTCCCAGTACTTAGAGGGCCACTGCTCCTTCTAAAACGGGAGTTTGGAATTGTTCACTGTGTGACAAAGGTGATATATGACAGGACAAAAGTACTGTTTTTCCTTGAATGTTTTCCAAAGTCACGGCACTCTTGTAGCGGTCATATGCAATCCTGCGCTACTTTTCATTTTATAGCTGACAGATATAGTTCGTTTTTTAAAGCAGACTGATAGTGTCAAACCAGGTTTCCCTATCCTCCATTTCTTCTCATTGAAACGATTTTAAATAGCCATAATTGACTACATTTTTTTAAACATTTCTGTTTCCTCCAACTGATCTAGACATGTTGCTTCATTTATTATTTGGCCATTGTTAGCTGAGTTCCTACCATATTTGAAGTGATGTTTGCAACAAGTGGCATCAATTCCTTTTCCCTCACTATATTTAACACCATTTTGCAGG